TCTCACCTTCAGAGAGGACATTGGCCTGCGGGTGCCCCAGGGTTCTAGATGAAATTCTAGAATGTGGGGGTACTTGTGGCAACCCCCAGATTTGGTGGGCTCAGAACCTGCCTTGTGCCAACCAAGAGGAATTTTTCCACTCCAAAGACAGCCTGGCGAAGGCAACCTGGTAGTGACTGAGGTTTCCCAACTCTACTCTTACTACTTTTGTGGTTGCAAAATCAAGTTATTCAGTATATGATTGCCTTTATGTTTGCTGGTTCCCTGCAAAAACACTGAAGAAAACAACAGACTTCAGTGCTGCCAGTAGTATAATGCAAGCCAATGGGCTTAGCAAGCTGACAGGACCTTCAGGCAGCAGTGAAGAGCTAAGAGCCTTTGAACACAGTAAGAGCATCCTGGCTCACGTGGCCAACTGAGGCCACGCTTCCCTCTCTAGGCAGATGGGATCTTAAAAGCTCAGGTGCTCCTCTTACCTGCAGCATTCCTTTGGCCATGGGTATGACAAAAATGGAGCCAGCCAGGCTCTGTGCTCCCTCCCAAAGTGGGCTCAGTCTGCAGCCCTTTGCTGCAGCACCTCAGCTGCACGCACCCAGGTTGTGTGGCTGTGGGAGAGCTAAAGGTTCGTGGCATTCATCTGCTGAAAAAGCTGTGCTGCCTTCCTGAGTGCTCCCTAGCGTCAGGGGCAGGAATAAAAAGGCTGTGTTAAAGAAATTGTGACATGCAGCACTAAGTTTTCCCAAAAGGTGTGAGCAATGCTGCCAGCAGTGACCTTGGTCTCAGCTAGCATGTCTCCATTAAGGGCTGGGAGTGCAGAGATTCTCCTGCCTTGCTCCTCTCACTCCCCCTGCCTCCCGAAGCCATCAGAAGATCTGCAGAGACAGATGAATCTCTTTACAGAAGATTTAGCAAAGAGAATGAGAATAAAGTAAAACAATTTAAAGTGGCAGTTTTCCCTTCCAAAGAGAAAGAAGTGTGACTTTTAGATATAAAGAGTTCGTGAGCATAACTATACACACACACACACGTATATATATGTATAAAAACCTTGGCTGACTGAACAACAACAAGGTCAAACAGTAAATATTTATACCTTGAAGCCATCAATCCCATCTGCGCTGTGGCATCTAGCCAAAAATGCCTTTGGGGTAGCTTAGCTTGATACAGAGAGAAGCTTAGTGAACTGTTCAATGTTTTTTCCCCTACATCAGCATTAATAGAGCATTTACACTTTCATGAATATGCCTCTCCCCCTGGCTGAGCCCTCCCTACCACCAAGGAGGCAGGGAAATGTCTCTCTCAAGGCTGCAAAGCCCATGTAGATACTGGATCGGGTGGGTTCAAGAGAGACACAGCGTTTAGGGAAGAGGACTGCAGCAAGGGTTGCCCTGCTGCGATGGGCCTTTCCTATGGCCACATATTGGCTGCCCACTGTCCCAAGCACCTGGCATGCACAAAGGGGCTACATGGTTTGTGTTTGGGAACAGCAAGCACGGGGTGTGCTCATACTGGCAAGGTCCTACAACAAATGAACTGGGTCCTCACCAGTGCCACCAGGCTGGTGGAGGTCAGGAGAAGATGAACTGTGTTGGCCTCAACACTTTCTGTACAACTTAGAGAGTGGTGGAGCTGTCTTTGCTCACATTGAGTTGGTGCATGGAGGAGCACTCAAGTGTCACAGTCCTGCTTGGTGATGTTCAAGATTTTCAGAGCAATCATATGGAGGTATCTCTATCAGCCCTTTATAGTGAGTGGCACCCAGTGACTACTTCTCCCCTCCCTCCTGCACCACAAACAGCATGCACTGCCTCTCCTGCCTGCCTGGATGGCCTCAGCCCAGCCAGCCCCTACCTTCCTGAGCACAGAGCACTCCAAAAACACACTGATTGCGCCTACATGTGGTTTCAGAGCAGGGGAGAGGCAAGGTATCAATGCCAAGACATCCACCTGCCATTTTGAGGAGGAATGTAGCTGCAGGTTGGAACTGCACTGTCTAAGGCTGCAGAGCAGGGGTGCAGAATAACAGATCATTTTGGCCACTTATATGGACTTCTAGTTCCTTCCTGGGAGACTCTCCTCAAGTCAGAGGGCTTTGGGTCTTGCCAAAAGAAAATAAATATCGGAGCACTGAAGTGCACAACTGGCTTTCTGTGGAGCAAACTAGTGGTGGCTGTATGCAGGTCCATTCCTGCACAGCCCCAGTTATGAAAGCAGAGCCCTTAGCTGCTGCCACAATGAGGATCCAACCCCAGTAGCTGGTGCTGGGCTAGCACTGTAGAAAAAGGACCCATCAGCAGCTTCATGTTAGCTGGGAGGGAAACATCCCAATTTGAGCCTCTGACAGATTTTAAAAAAAGAACATTATCTTCTCTGTGATGTCTGCTGGCAGGAGATGCTAAACCACTTATTTATAACTATCTTCCTGAAATGCTTCCCTGCTTGGAAGCCAAACTACAAATCCTGTTTGGTTTGTTGTCTTTAACCAAAGGATGCCGGTACTTCTGCTTCCAGTTGGCAGGAAGACTCAGCACCAGTGCCAGGCTGTGGTGGGAACAGGCTTGGCTTTCAAGGCGCGTTCACACTGATCCAGGGAGGGAGCTTTTACCCAGCAGAGAGCAAAGTTTTCAGAGTCAGGAGAGCAAAGGCAGGCCAGCAGGTGGGTGGCACTGGAGGGCAGCATCCTGGGGAGGAATGAGAGCCTTGGGCAACTGGAGGGGAGAAGAAGTGCACCTGAGTGCAATGAGCCAGGCGGGATCACCCTCAGGCAGAGGGGATTCTGGGGATTGCCTGGGGAGCAGAGGGGACTAAGGAGGAGACTCAAGTCACTGGATCTCATATTTAGGCTTGCCTTCGACATAATTCCATTAGTAAACACAGTATACTCTTTGTTACCATTTTATTGTGTTTGTTTTGCTTTTTATAGGGTTTCTATTTCATTCACTTAGGCCTGAGTATTATAGTGACATGAATGTTTTATGAGATACACTTCATCTAGCTTATTTAAGAAAATGACATCCAAGTACAAACCAAACAGCCTCACGGCAGTTAGTGCAGCAGTGACTGCCAGGGAGCCCAGGAGACGGAGGGCAGCAGCAGTGGTACTCGCTGCTGGAGAGGATGGTGTCGGCATGGGGAGAGCAGGAGGGTCCTAGGGGAGCAATGGGTGTGGAGCAGTGCTCAGGTGGCTTGAAAGCAGCATGGCTGTGCCCCCTGTCCAGCAGAAGAGCTGGGGATGGTGCACCCTCCCTTCACTCCTCCAACCTGATGCTGGGGCTTTTCCCTCCTCACAGCCCTTGGGAATGAAAGGCACTGTAGAAATGTCATGGGCAGCTTGGGGTGCGGATGCTGGGGATAGAGGCAGTTTCCTCAGCATCTGTTTTGGGAATGTGCTGTCTCTCACCCCATGCTGTCTGCTGGTGGGGATGTGCTCATGAATGGACCATGCCAGGGGCTGAGCCAAATGACTCTGAGTTCCTCTCCTCGTGCACTGCTGCTGAGCCAGCAAGAGAGGTAAGGGACAGGCAGGACACCATCAATGCCGCACATACCACAGGACAAAGCATCCTGCTCTGCCCTGCACTGTCCCCATGGATATTCCAGGTGGGGTAAGCCCTGCTCATGCACCAGATGGAGAACTGAGCTAGGTGCAGAGGCTCAAAGCAATGCTGAAGACATCAACCTGGGGGTTCTGAGTCCCTGGGCAGACTGTATGGGCCCAAAATGTGCTGGGGGCAGGTCGAGGGGGTGGTCAGAAGGGCAGCAGAAAGTACTAGAGGGCTTTTCTTGGAAGAGTTTGCAGGTGTTAGAGCTGGGTGTCATCTCATTGGTTTTGTGGGATGGCACCTGACTCACACATCTCTCTTGGACAGCAATATCACCCTGCTGTTTCAAAGGACCCCTTCTGCTGTTCTCCCTGGGTAGTGAGCTGTATTCATAGGCTCATGAATTCATACATGGGCTCATGTATTCGTGAGCTCAGCTGTATTCATGGGGGACAGGTAGGTTCTTGGGGATCAACTGCAGCCTCATCTCCCACAGATGGCAAAGTGATTCATGGTGCACCAGGGAAGGAAAGGGCCTGAATCACCACTGCTGCTGCTCTAGGGCATCAGAGAAGAATGTACCATGGGACACACCACAGCTGTGCTCCTCTCTGTTGGTGAGGCTCTCCTGAAAGGCATGGGCTTATATGCCTAAATCCCTCTTCAAACAGTGAGATATTGCTGAGGGCTGCTGAATAACCAAAGGACAATGAATGGGGAGCACAGGAGATGCCAAGAAGGGGAAGTGGACAGAGAGAAAGTGATAAATCATCTGAACATCTGAACATGATCTCTATGGCTTCCAGTCCTGGGGCTGAATGCATGTGGCCTTAAAGCTACTGTATCCTGTCCAAGGCATCAGACTTGCTGAATGACTCAGAAAAATTATTTCTCTGGCAGAAAACATCTCATCCTCTAAGATGGATTGCCCCAAGAATATAGGACAATGGACAAGACCTTTCTCACCTGTTCTCACCTGGGAAGAGACATGGAGGAAACCAGCAGCTGGGTTTGGTGGTGACAGAGAAGAGGAAGCCCTATAGGTAACTACAAGATACTATCACACTGTTCTACCCTTGCCATGGTTCTGCTGACAGCCTGGGCACCAAAAAGCAGCCTAGCAGACTGCCTTGGAGGCTTCCATGTCCTTGAGTCCAAGCCACTAGGAGAATCCACCACGCTAGGGCAGTCCATCACAGAAGAGGAGGGAGGCAATAGTAGCAGCCCCCAATGGAGTGGAGCATGGCATGGCAGTGTTGTGCAGATCATGCAGATGGCAGGAAGTGGGAGAGATGGAAGCGCAGGGTGACTTGGACAGATGGGGGACATCAGACTCACGATGTCAGAGGCACAACTTGTTATGATCCTTTTCCTTTTATCATCAAAGTAAAACAAAAATAGACACATACAGGATTAAATTAAAATCACAGTTTTGTTTACATTATAAAAGAACGGTCTAATAGTAATAATAGTATTAATTTCAAATGAACAATAATAATTAAACAAAACAGGAAAAGAAGAAAGCCCTGGAGAATTCCTGCCTGGATGGTGCTCACTGATGGAAGGTTTGTTTGATTCGTTTTATTGTTTGGGGATCATTCCTTTGATAGCTGACTCCCGGTTTACGTAGGTGGCCCAGTAGACCAAGTTGAAAATGGCAAAGAGGACTGGAAAGACAATGCGGGACATCTTGTCTACCTTGCTGACGCTGTTGTACGTCTTCTTACTCTCTGGGAACTTCTCCTCTAAGCGGGGCATCTTGGGGGGTACGTTGGTGGCAGTAGCAGTGGCAGCAGCACTCTTGGAGATGGTGGGCAGGCCAGGGTCCTTGGCAATGTTGAGGGGATATGTGGTGCCAACTATGTTGTAGGTGTTGTTGGTTTTCTTCGCTAGTGCCACTGGCTCTTTTTTCTAGGGAAGGTGGAAGAAGAACATAACAGAGATGAAGTGACTGTAGAATTGCACAGAGAACATTTTGTCCTCTGAGTTCACTTGCCTGACTGGTTGAGAGGGTGGGAAAGGATGCAAGGAGCAAGAGACTGAGAAGGCAGCATTGTGGAAGGAAGGAGAATGTGGTGAGAAGGTGACCAGAACTTGTGACATCTGCCACAAGGGCTGCTGGAGCAGAGGGATGTGCTGGACCACATCTCCTTCAATTACATCACCTGTTCTGTGTAAGCCTGGCATGAAGCACAGAGTGCAAAGAGGTCCTGGCCTAGCAGCTAGGTGCTAGGTCTGGCTTCAGGTCCTATAACTGTAGCCACACAGCTACGTTTGCGGCCTCCTCGCAGTTCCTTACATCAGGGCTGTGATATGTGAAGTTGTGTGCAGCTGCACTTCAGCAAGGTCTGCCCAAGATGGGTGATCCTTTGCTTTGGTTGACTGAGTGCTGCCAAGTCTATATTGCATATTGCCAGGTCAGTAGAAGTGAAGGCAAGCTCAAACTATATACAAACTCCTTGATTTCTACCTCAGTTGGGTTCTGTTTTCTGTTGCATGTAAGGTTCAGCCATGGAGAGATGAATCAGGAATGCACTCTTTAGAAAGGAATGAGAACCACTGTGGTCATCCTAGGAGAATAACTTGATTTTCTGCTTTGCCAGTCTGTTTCCCAAATCAGGTGAGAAAAAGAAACATCCATTGACAACTATGGCTTTTTTTGTTTTGTTGTTGTTTTGTTTTGTTTTGTTTTGTTTTAAGCAGGAAGCCAGTGGCCTTAATAATGTGTCTGACTGCACTGCAGTATTTTTGAACCATGATCCTAAAAGGCCATATCTTACACTGCCTTGGTGGCCTGCGTATTTCACAAGGATGTCATGATGTCCAAAATGCCTCTGGGATTCCTTGGGGCATTGCATGGCCTCCTAAGTACGATATAGAGCCAACAGAAAGTGTTTGCCATAGCCCTGGATTTGAGGATTTCAGATGCTATAGGAGTGGAGAGAAACCTTTCATCTTGCCTTCATATCTAAGGATTGCTGCAAATCAAGGCAGATAAGTACAGCCCTGCCACAGGCTGCAGGGACATCAATGCTGGCTGTGCTGAAGGGTGGAGAGCTTCTATAAGAAACAGAAAGGATGCACTTATGTGTTTGATGTAACGTGTTGAAGGATGAAGGAGAATGCTTAAGGCAGAAAATTCCAATGTTAGTGAAGATGAGTGGACAGGAAGATAGAGCTAGAAATAATGATGGATGTTTCCCCTGCTCTGGAGATCTTTCTGTTACTGTCAGGGACTTGGGACCAGATGCACTATAGGCTATAGTGTATGAGACAATTCAAATCTATTGGGAAAAGCCCACTGAATGAAATCTGTTCATGTGCAGACATCAGACATCCTACACATCCCAGCACCTCTGTGCATCCATATGGTGTCCACTGTAATGACACCCAGAGTCAGAGCTAGACACAGCAATGAATCAGAGTGGGAATCTAAAATGTAAACTCAGAACAAAGTGTGATTTTGGATCTCATCTTCTATTCAAAAACAACTGGAACACAAGATTAGGCCCACCCAACCATTCCCTAGAATTGCTTGGTACGGTCTTGCATGTAAGCACATGGGAGCCATGCACAACGTGACAGCCAGGAGAAGGGGAGAGCAAACAGCCAGCAGGACGTGTTCATCTCAGCCTCCCTGCCTGGGAACCAGTAGCAGGCAGTACCTCTGGGTAGCACAGGGAACTGGAAAGGCAGGTTGACCATCCGTCCTGTAGAGATGCTCCAAGGGTTTTAGCTTTCAGGCTGCAGTTCTGTTGTAAATGCATCCACAGCCACCAGGAATATTTCTGGTTATCTTAGAAAAAGCAGACTTCTGTGCGATCTTTAAATCCCTCTCCAATAACACCGTAGCTCGGACTGCAGCCTCACAGTAATTACAGCAATTACAGAAATTAACCTGCTGTTAGAATGAGGTCTTTAGTGTCCAGATCAGACTAAACCACTGATCAGACCGTATTCATACTCCTTTATGGATAATGTGGAAGAGGTTGTTATGATCTTTAATGATTAATTGAGTGACTGATTCCCGCAATTGTTGGAACCATGTCAGCCTTTACCCTCTATACAGGAGGTGAACTTTTCCTGCTAAAGAGCTGACAAGAAGCAAATGAAGGACAAAAGGTGCTCTACTTTCTAAAGCATTCAAATATGTTTTAGTACGATTAGTTAATAACATAGCTACTGGAGGCAATACAATAATTAATAATCAGTAATGAAATGAAAAACACTTGTTTGCAGAATGTAATTTGAAGTGCACTGTGATTATTTGAGTACTAATCAGCCACATTACATGAATAAGATGTCTGTAAGTGACATGACATTCTCAGCCTTGGCTAGCTTTTCTGTTCCAGAACTTTTAGAGTGACTTTTTCCAGTTGTCCACAGCTATCTTCTGCCCTGGACAGAGCTGGGAGCCTTTGCTAAACCTCCAGGGTACCAGCTTCCCATCAAGGCACACATGTGAGAAAACAGGCTCCTGAGATATTGGAAGGAATGGTTCAGCCTGAAGTCACTAAATTGCATTTTGTAAATAAGTGTTTCAGGCAAGATTTTGATAATTAAACAAAGCAAAATGTGCTTATCAGCTGCAAAGTAGCCCTCCGCTTTCCCCCTGCATACTTATCTGCAAGGAGTTCCATGTCAGACCGGAACAGAAGAATAGAAAAACAGGAGGAAACCCCACATTTGCATTTGAAAACTTATCCTAGTTAACACATCTATGCTGAAAAGCTTTTACTGATTCTGTGGCCCAGTTTGGGCTCTGGGAGACCAAGTCTGAGCTGCTGTCTTGAGGGAAAAACTGCGAAACCTGGTCTAAAGATAAACATGTTCCCTGGATACTGTAGTCTGACAAGTTCTTCCACAAATACACACGCTGGATTACAATGGCAGCTGTCACATATTCTTGTCTCCCAGGCCCTCTATTGAGGAGCTAAAGGATAAAGCCCTGCAATTGTGGGAATTACTGGTTCTGCTGATGACCTGTTGGAGACTTAGCTCTCTGCAGCTGCTCCCTGCTTAGAAGTTTGGGTTGGAAGCATTCTTGCCCTGATGGGACACTGAGAGTCACCATCACTTCTGGGTCACGGATTTTACTGGAGAAATGCAATGTATTTGCCTCCTGCTATTGCATAGAAAAGTCATCTTAATGCCTCCAAGTAGCCCCAGTCTGGAGCATATTTGTACTCTATAACTGCAACTGATGTTCCAGCAAACATGGCACCTCTCCCTCATGCCAGCCATAGCTCCCCTCTGGAGTGTGCCAGAACCTTGATTGTGTCTGAGGAATGAGGTGTTTTACACTGAGATGTCCACAGACTGAGAAGAGATAAGGGCTTGTGGCAATGTAATATTGCACTAACAAGCAGTCTGTGTTGAAGTCAGGATACTGTCACCTGCTGGTGTGACCCCTGGCATCACAGAAATCATTTACACTGGAAAATACCCTTACAATCATCAACTCTAACCATCAGCCTTCCACTACGAGTCCACAGCTGAGCCATGTCCCTAAGCACCACATCCACACATCTCCTAAATACATTCAGTGATGGCGACTCCACCACAGCCCTGGGCAGCCTATTTTATGTCTAACCATCCTTTCCCTTAAGAAATGCTTCCTGACATGCAATCTAAACTTCCCCTGGTGCAACTAGAGGATGTTTTCTTGCGTTCTAGCACTTGTCACCTGAGAAAAGAGATCGACACTCATCTCACTACAACCTCCTCTCAGCTAATTAGAAAAAGCAGCGAGGATTCCTCTCAACCTCTTTTTCTGCAGACTAAATGACCCCAGTTCCTTCAGCCATTTCTCAAACATTTTGTCTTCCAGTCCCGTCAGCAGCTTCACTGCTCTTCTCTGAATGCATTTCAGCAACTCAGTGTCTTTCTTGTAATGAGAGAAACTGAACCTAAAACCGAACACAGTATCTGTGGTGCATCACTCACCTCTCCCATCTCGCCTTCATTCTGATTACGTGACTGACATGATTTTATGATCTCTGGATCTGCAGACAAAGGCTCAGAAGTTTGGTCAGCCCAATATGCCACGTGGATAGTGTTGAGAGAAAGAGGGTGAAATGGTGTGGAAGAATGATGTGTGGAGTCTAATGAAGATGCTGAAAACATGAGTCACCTGCAGTACTGTGGGGAGCCACAGGTCACGTGTGAATGTGGTAGGACAAAGAAGGAGACATGGGCTGCAGTGAAAAGGAAAAAGTCCCATCGAAAACATATTTATCATAACTAAGCAGAAAAAAAAAAAAAGAGAGAGATGGGTCTGAACCACTCTGTGAGTCTGTAAATTGGTTGAAGATGGAGGCCTATGAAATTTTGTTCTTCCTCTATTGGAAGGAGGGAACTGAAACAAAGATGCCATGGGTAGAAAGAAACAAAGGGGAAAAACTAATGATTCTCAGATGACCATGGTCAAGGGGCAGACTTAGAATTGCTAAAGGGCAGGTTGGACAAAAAGCTTGGCTTCACTCCATTTGAAGTGTATTCTTACTTGTTCTCACGTGTCGGAGTGCAGCTAATTGAATTGTTTTTATTGTGTCTTTCCACCAAGCATCACTGCAGAGCATCGCACAGATACAGAGCTAAAATGGACTTTATGCACAGCTGTGACATTGCCAGTGGAAATAGGTTTAGGTTACTGTCTTCCAAGTATGCTCCAACATGAGGGAGAGATGACAGCGTTCACGAGTTTCCAATGGAGAAATCACCATTAAGGGTTGCCTCTCTCAGCTTCCTGAGACCTTGCTGGCTCCAAAGACAGCCACCCCCGTGGCTGAGATGGATGCAGTGCAGCAGGGCCTCATACACAGTCCCTCTGTCCTGAAGTGGGTCCTTTTAGCAAGATTCTTTACGGATGCTGGAGATAGGGAGTTTCACTGACTACTGGAGCCAATCTCTTTGGCCTTTCACTTCTCCCCAACTACTATCGTTTTCTGTCTTCTTCCCGGTGATGTTTTCTTAAAATTCATCCCTAATAAAGAAGTTTTCTGCATTGGATTCAGATACTCTTTCCAGTTCAATTGGCACCTCTAGGTTGGTTGAAGCTGCTATGCACACAAAAATACAGAATTATCTACAATGAAAAAGTAGTAGTAGAGGACAGGAAAAGCTTGGAAAATAGGTGGGCCCAAGAAGTATTAGTCAAATCATATTAAAGTGTGCATTAAAAGAAATTTTTTGTGAGATCAATGGTGATATCTGTCTGATTTGCATGAGAGAAGGACTGCAGAGTATGTGCAGAGTAGCTCCCAGCCAGAATCAAAACCCAACTGTGGTTGTAGCCACAGCATGATCATTTATGATGTAGAGATCAGTGACTCATCAAGATCAGCCCATCATTTATATTATACACCCCAAAACCTGCTTTTCCCCACAGAATTCTCCCTCTAAATTGATGGAATGGACAAAGAGGAGAAAGAAAGAACAGGATGAGCCCTGAGAAACTGGAAGTTCTGGAGCACCTGTCAGCAACCAGCAGCTTTTGCAAGGCACTGATTTATTTTAAATCAGAAGAGAAGCATTGCTGCTGTGCCTGCATTTGAGGTGAGAGCAGGGCTGACACCTATTGATTTTGCTCGCATCCACGCAAGGAAACAATCAAACCTGGACTGAGTGAGGATCCTTGCTATCCCATCAATGAAGAACACTTTCTTTGGCTGGGGGAAGGCTCTCCAGAGACCAGAGCTCAGCGTGTGCTTGTCACTGGCAGTTTTACTCCTCGTACCAATGCTTAAAAATGCCAATAGTTTTTTTTTGCCTCCTCTTTCTTTTGTGGTTTCAACCACCTGGCTTGTCAATTGTTTCAAGAAGAGCTAATTAAAGGCTGGAGCTGGGCCAACAAGGCACCTTCATTCTGTAGCAAATTCACTGCTTGGAAATATTCAGTAGAATAAAGATGAAAGCAAATATGGTGACGCATCATATTCACAAGCTCTCTGAAAGTCCACAGCTGGTCAGGGAATTCTCCTTCAAGGAGTGCTGTCAGATGTGACTATTTGTAGCACATATAAAATTGTGATGGAGAGAATGGGGCAGTCGGAGCTTCTGAGCTGCAGAGACCAGGAGTGGGTGAGCTGTCTGACTTTGGATCAGGTAAGGAACAGGGTTGGCTTGAAAAAGCACCTGTAGATTTGGAGTCCTTCCTGATTCTTCATCTGACAGCAAACTCTCACAAGGAGTGCTCCCTCTGAAACATTTCTGGTCCTGCATTCTTTTCTTGTTCAATTACCATATGTGCAAACACTTTTACCCTATTGTTTCAGCATGATTACTTTGACAGTGTCAGGTCAATAAATAAATTGAGGAGAGTGCCACTTTTATGATGAATCAAAACCTTTGGAGCCCTTGCTGCTTTTTTGACTGTGCTCAATTCACACAAATTGCCCACATCTGTGTGAATCCTGACTTTGCACCGAAAGGGGCACAGCTGCTTTGAGGACCTGCTTGGTTCTTTACGCATGCCAGTGACCCCAGAAAAGTTCCTCTTATCTCTGACAAAAGTTCCTCCCATCTCTAGAGACCCAGTTATTGTATGTGATGGAGGTGGAAGACCACCAGCAGGCCTCCTCTGGAGCCTTTCTGCCATGAGTCTGGTGCTCAGACCACAGCTGCATAAGCAGATGGAGAGTCCAAGAAATACAAGACAAAGGCATTCAGCACCCAGTGATGGCTGTGGTTCTCCATAAGGCCTCTGTCCTCTTGCTGGGACCTCCATACCAGCGAGAAGACTGACTGTTGTCCTCCTAAAAGTTAATGCAATTCTGCCAGGTAGAGCTTCACAATTATAAACAACACATTAAAATGCAAAGGAGAAAAATATAGAGGCTCCAGAACCAAGAACAAGGACAAATATGATTTTCAAATTGATTCAATAAATACAAGGAGCAGCATGCTACAGTAAGCGATTTCTCTGCACAGCTGAGATTAAGTCAGTGAGGAGGGAGGGGGATTGAGCAGGAATGGTGATGGCTGTCAGGAAGGATGCTACCAGAGAGGCTGAAGGGAAAACGTGGGTGATGCCAGGCACTAATTTGCAGCCAGTAGCTGTTTCCGATTGCTTGCTTCCCACCCACCCTCTTTGCCCAAGCTTACAAAGCAACAGCTGTGGTCAATAACATGAGTGCTAGGAGCTCCCCACTGCTGCACCATGCTTGTCCATGTGGAGGGAGACCTACAGCGAGGGGTACCCACTGCAGGGACACAGCAAGGTTGGTATCCCGTGGTATACGTGTATTTGTGCAGCATGCAGGCAACATACAGCGGGATAGAGAGAGACAGAGAAAGGAGATCACCAGTGGAGCAAGACCACAACATGCATGCATTTCCTTTTCCCCTGGCAAATGGTCATGCAAAAGCACACAGGGAAAAGCAGCCATTCAGTCTGGGTGTTTTTCTCCATCTAAGCACAGTGACCAGCCCTCCTCCATCACAACTCAAGAACCGCTCCAGTCAAGGCCTGAACTGGGGACCCCAGTAAGTAGCATCCAGCCTCCTGAAGTGCTATGGAGCTGCATGCTACCCACTCCTGGTCCCAGCGCAGCTCTCTTGTGCAGCGTTTCTTCTCTGTCACTCCACCCTGGCCTTGGCCACGGGGCTCACCTTCATCTCCTGGGCCTCCAACACCTTCTTGCCATCCCAAGCCCAGCTGCGCTTGGTGAAGTAGTTGACAGTGGCAAATTCAATCAGCGCAGAAAACACAAAGGCATAACAGACGGCTATGAACCAGTCCATGGCCGTCGCGTACGCCACTTTAGGTAACGAGTTTCTTGCGCTGATGCTTAGCGTGGTCATGGTGAGCACAGTGGTGACACCTGTGGAAACACAGCAGAAGATGAGGATGCTGTCAGACCGTGCACTTGCAGTCACCCATCCCTAGCATGCTTGTCCTCTGTCCTTCCTAGGAAAGAGTCAGCAAGAAAACTTGTCATGGGTTACACTGGCCCACGGATATGTTTGTCTCCACAGAAACGGGGAGATTCTGTCCACCACACGCATGGACAAAGAGTCAAGAACTGTAGGCAGGAGCCCAAGCGGATGGACACTGGGACTCCAGGTCCTGCCTACATGGCCAGGCACACATCAGTGGCCCAAGATGCCAGAATGAGAGTCACTAGGATTTATCTTATAAAACGATCTGCAGCAAAATGCCTTTTAAAGCTTTTTTCATTAAAGCAAGCAGGCACTGCTATCCATTTTCTCCAATAATATGCTTTTCAATTAAAAACGCATTAAAAACATTATAAAAATATTGACTAAATTTCACTTCCCTTAAGCTATACTTCTGGTAATTGAAGAATTTCAATAATATTGTTGGCAATACTTTCAGAGAGGAAAAAAAAGAATAAACAACTGGAACTCTCATTATTTTCTTAATAGCAAAGCAAAGCAATTTGGGAGCTCAGACATTTTTCACAAAGGTAGCTTTTAATTTTTCAATCAGCCTTTTCCTAGCTGAATCCTAGTTGCTACTTGAAGAAACCTTTTTAATTGCAAAAATCAGGATAACACAAAAGGGAATCAAATATCCTCAGGGAAGGTCTTGCCCCAGGCACTGGGAGAGGAGAGCAGACACACCCTGAGCTGGTGCAGATGTGGGAGCCCACCTGGGGCACAGACAAGCTGTGGTACCTGGGTGTTGGCTCTGGAGGGGCAAATTACAAATGATTCACAGGTAGGTGAGTTGGAAAAGCTTATCAGTGCATTTCTTCATGCAGGCGCTGGTCCTGTTTTCCTTGTGATATCTGTCTGAGCTTTGAGATGTTGGAAACCACACCACTCTGTCAAAGATGAGCTAGTGGCAAGATATAAACCTCTTCTCTGTTTGGTGACTTTTGTGCAGTATGCTCTGTTAGGTTGTATCTGCAGGGCACTGTTATTTCCAGGAAACATTCCTTGTGGCATCAGCAGATCAGGGTATAAGGACAGATGCCTGGGATGGTGTTCCAGCACCAGGGCTCTGCCTGCCCCCAGGCAGCGGGGTACAGCAGGGGGTTTATGTGCATGAGGTGTAAATCCTGAACTCAAGGTCTTGGCAGAAAAGCACAGAGCAGTTCTGTTATATATTTGTGAAAGCTATTAATGTAAGTGCAATGCCTGAGACTTTGCCTCAGAGAAGGAATCTGAAACCAGTTGAAGAAAATAATAATATATCTACCATGTAGTTATACTGCCTCAGCTCAGGAGCCTGTTACATGGAGGTCTGACCAGGGGCACATTAGCAACTTCAAAGGTAGTGCATTAACTGCCTCCCCATGTATCTATCCTCTCCTCAACTCAAAAGCCAATACAGATAAGCAGACACAGTCAAATACATATAATTAGATGATCAATACCTTGATTACTGTTAATATTTATGACTTGGCTTGTAGCAAAACATGGAGAGGAGTATTTTTGCAGTGATATAGTGGAAGAAGCACTAGGAAGACACTGAGTGCTATTCTGAGAAATGGACATCAGCTTCATCAATGCCAGTGAATTGGAGATTGGAGAAGACTAGCTGTGATGGCTGGTCCTTCCTTCTTGTTTCTCAGCCATCCCCTGGAGCCCGTTTCCATATTTTCCCATTGGCTCTTTTCCCCTGCTGAGACCTGCTCCAAGCAGAAAATGCTGACTCAACTCATGGCAGCCAATGCGTGCTGGAAATTGGGATTCTCGATAATTTGGGTTTTTCTGCCTGCTGTGTATTAATAAGGCATCCCATGGAAGGAGAAACCATCCACTGGGGTCCCAAGTCAGAAACTCCCTGGAAGGCAGCAGCCTATACACTGCCTTATCTTCCTCTCTGTGGGTGTGGACACTGGTGCTTGAACCACAGATGCCACCAGCCCCATCAGCCCAGGCCAACACCCTGGAAACCCCTAGGTCACTCAGGCAAGGGGAGCTGGCTCCAGTAGGCACTGAACTTGTTCATCTGCCAAAGGGATACTGGAGCCAGATAGTCTGTTGCATGTACCAAATTGTTCTGCCCTATGAATCTAGACAAAAGGCTAATTTCCCATCATTTACCTTTCTGTCCAGCCTGTCTGGGGACCCCCATGCTCATAGACTCACCAAAAACTGTTCTGGCGGGGACAGATTCCCTGTTCAACCAGAAGGAGACCTGGGACAGGATTACAGTCATGATGCAGGGCAGGTAGGTCTGGATGACGAAGTACCCGATCTTCCTCTTGAGGTGAAAGTGCGTGGTCATGACAACATACTCCCCTAGGGAAATAACCAGTTAGAGGCACAGATCCAATGGGTGTTCCAGGATGGGCCAACTGAGCGCTAGCCCATCTCTGAAGCAATAAAGGTCTGTGTTGATTGAACCTGCAAACTCTTAGGTTTTCTGTGACAAGCCTGAAAATATTCTGCTTTTCCTCACTTTAATAATCTCAGAAAACAGAGCAAGTTCTGTGGTTCAAGGTCTGGGCTGTAGACCAAAAGAGCAGCTGTCTCTATTTTCCCTCAGTGCCCTATTCATCCTCCAAAGAAATGCACCAAAGCTTTGGATATTTTGCTGGGTTATTGTGCCTTTTTGTTGTGAGTATGGCTCTGCTAAGTCATTACACACAAGAGCCTTTAGCAGCTTTCTTGCCATTTCAGGTTATTCATCTGTACATTTTACTACAACTTAAGTAGAGAGATGGGCCAGATATGATGACATTTAGTCCCCTGGACTCCCCACGTTTCCCCAAGGGAGGTGATACGAGTTGTTACAGACAGACACTATTAAAATCAAGTGCACCAGAGAGGAAATATTCTCAAATGAGAGAACTACTGGTGCATACAGCAGAAGAAAAAAAGAAAAAAAAGCACAGAAAAGAAAATGGGAGAAATGAGAGAAACACACAAGATAACAGAAGCTATTGGTACCTGAATTCAGAGGGAAAGGGAGGAGGAGCAGATGGGAGAGAAAGATGATTAATATTGGTCATTAATCAGAGGAAGCAATTGTTTGGGAGAATCTTCTATTAGCTACGATAATATTTGTGTAAGCAGATGCAGTGAAAATCACACATCATCATGTTCCACTTGCCTCCCCTGCCTGCAATGCTCTCCTGAGGGGTTGAAAAGGGATCCAAGACAAATGAATCTGCAGTACCAAGGACTAGCTGGGCAAAATGGGGCAAATTTTCCACACAACACATCATTTCTACAGAGTATGGGTGAAAGCACTAAAAGCTAAACAACTTACTGCCTTATAGTAACTGCCCCAGATGTTCCCAGCTACATTCTCCAACAGCACCACGATGCTCGCAGCCTGCAGGTACTACCACTATCATTATGCCAAATTGTGGCATTCAAAGCCTATGGGTCCATCTTGCCTTACAGTGTTCTCAACCTGTGCATCATATGGTCCCACAAGTACCTGTGCTGGATCGAACCATCTCTGTCCCAACAACATGGCCCAGCAGGTCATACTGGTTCAGGCGAGATCCACCCTTTGCTACTTCCACAGATTTATCCTTCCCCAGGGTCCAGGTGTAGATTACCTCTGTTTTTGTGTAGGCATCTGTGGAGGAAAAAGAAGAATGAACTCAAGCTCCTGGCTGACATAAAATACACCAAAATTAGCCTGCGGCCAAACTAATCCTTGCTATGCATTCCTCAGAGCCACATGGCTGAGCACAGCCAAGCATGGCCAGAGACCAAAGCAGTTCAGCAGCTGCTAATCAAATGAGCCAAAGGGAGCTACAGTTTTGGGAAAGCCCCACCGTGATCTGACGAAGACTGTGACAGACCAGCTGGGAGTGGCTGTGAAGACAGCTAACACACAGATAGGGTTGATATTTTTGTTGCTTCAATTAAAAGTAAAAATTAAAAGCGTTTACCTTCAGGAGAACTCTCTCCAAGCCTCACAGCTCCAGAGGGGGTGTGCCCTTCCACCAATCTGCTTTTTCCACTGCATGATCCTGTGCTTGCCAGAATGCAGGCAGCCCTCCTGGCAGTGAGGGAGAGCACTGCTGAGCAGAGCTTGACACCACACTGCAACAGGAACAGCCGGCAAGGGCTACTGCACTGCTGTAAGCGGCAGTACTGTGCTCAGAGCAAGGGCAACCTTCCAGGGATCTGGGAGATCTACTCTCCATCCAGTTTGCCCAACACTTCTCTAAAACCAACACGGTCATCATGGTCTTCATGAAACCTTTCTGTTCAAAAGTCTGCTTCCGCAAAGCTACTCCCTTTCCCAACAAAACCCCCACATTCTCAATGCTGCAAGTCCTACAGTATCTAGAAATGAATTTTCATCACATGCTACCAGGCGCTATGACACTTCATAATTCTCAAGCTTCCTGTCCATACCCACTTTGCAGTACTGATCTTGGAAAGAACAAAGGTCACTATCTGCAAAATGCTTTAACAAGAATTTTTTCATTCATATGGACAACCAGATTCTTGCATTAAGACATCTCTGCCTCGGGTCACATCAGGCCTACTATGGAAAATTCTCAATTCTATTTTGTTGTTGATTGTATTCTTAGGTAACCAGAAACAAAATGGTTCTTTGGATCTTTAATAGCACTTGAGAGCACAATTCATGCCATAGCAGATAGAGATCCTAGGTTCTAAGTGAACAGAGTAGATTAGTTCCAGAAATAAACATCCTAAATATTC